ACTCTGCAATGAGTCACATCAGAGTTGATGTTTTGAACTTTTGATTGGGATCATGTGGCATATGCTCATTATGGTTCCTATGATTTTTTATGCATTCTAAATGGTTTATGTTCAAGAGAAGGTGATTTCCATGATGACTTCATGTTGTTGAGCAAGTCCTTGGTGCATGATACTGATGCTTAAAAGATTTTTTTTTTTGAAGGCGAGTGACGATAGATTTGGAGTGCTCTTATGTGAGTATTAAATTTAGTCCTACATTTGATATCGTATAACTGTGCTTGCATAAAAATACATGAAATTGGCCATCACCTATAGGTTAGAGGTTTTTAGGTTGAAAATGAGTTTGTATATTGGTGCATCTAGCTCAAAACTTATCATCTTTGGTCCACACTTTTGAACAATTGTTATAAGTGCCAATGATTCAACCGGGATCCCATATTTTATTTAGTTTATGACTCCTGTGAGCCTTGCTTTATTTTACTATAGTTGAGTTAAGTTCAAGAGCAGTTGAATCCCATGATACGTCCATTTGGTTGCGTGAACACTTGGTATCTGATACTTGATGATGTTGCAAAAAAAAAAAAAAAGTTTGAGGGGGAAGGGTTAATGGTGGATGTGGATATTTGATGTAAGCAAGCGCCCCCTTTTTAATGGTGTATGATAATTGATGTAAGCAAGCCTCCCCCCCTTTTTCTCGGTTCCCCTGGTCTTGGTGGATGTTCGGTTCTTGTTGCTGCTCACTGGCTGCCTCGATTCTCTGGCCTTGGCTGTTCAGTTCCTGTTGTTGTTTCCTGGCTTTTCCGGTTCCCTTGGCCTTGGCTGTTCGGTTCCTGTTGCTGTCCCTTGGCTTCTCCCGTGCCTTTAATGCTGCCTTTTTCTTCCCCTTTTTGGTTGGCTGTGGGGGGCGACTGTTGTTGGCTGTTGCCTCCTTTTTTTTCCTATTTATAATGGAGTTTTGGGCTACTATGAGGGATTTTTTTGGAAGTGAAAACAAAGTCAAAATCTGAGGGTTTATTCTCTAGCTTGAGAGCTACTTCTTCACTTCTTGTTTCTTCTTCCAAGTCTTCTAACCCTTTCTTCTCTCCACAAGTTTCCACCCCATTGTATCCTTATTCTAAAATTGAGAGTGGTGTTATTTAGTAAGTTTTGTTGGGATTTGCCGGAGGAATTGTGGCAGACGTTGGATTGGATCAAAGTTGCTGTGGTGGACCATTGGTTTGCATGTCATTGAGCATTATATTTACCTAATTTATCGTTAAATGTGAGGTGGCCACCAACTGGTTTTTCTGATGGTAGTTTCTTTTGATTTTCTTTCTTCTTATAAAACAATTTCAGTTTGTTTAATATTATTTGGTGATTTGCTTACTAAAGTTTTGGATCGAGTTGTATTCTATTTTCTTTTGTGTTCTCCATTGGGCTTTAAGATTTCTGGTTCTCATCAATTTGGTATCAGAGCACTAGGTTGTTGTTCTAGTCTTCCTTCCTCTAAAAAAATCTAGGTTTCATCAAATTTGGATCAGAGCCCTAGGGTTTCTTTTTAGTCTTTCCTTCCTCTAAAAAAAATGGAAAATCATGATCAACCAAGTAATCTTGAAGTCCAAATTCCAACAAGCAAATGGGTCCCATCACAAGGAAACTTTACCGATCCCATCCAGAACGAGCTTAACAAAATTCAACATAAAATGCGCTTGTGTACAGAAAAATACGATATAAAGCAACTTCTTCAGGCAGTTTAAGCAAGAAAGAGAAAAAATCCAAAAAAAATATGCTGCTTTAATTTTAGAGTTGGATAAGGTTCATTCAACGCGTAAAGGAGATTCAGATTCGATCTTATCAGGAGATGAGAACTCTCTCCCAGGGGATATCTGATGTTAGCAAGCGCCCCCTTTTTATGGTGTATGATAATTGATGTAAGTAAGCCTCCCCCCCCCCTTTTTCTCGGTTCCCCTGGTCTTGGTGGCTGTTCGGTTCTTGCTGCTGCTCCCTGGCTGCCTCGATTCCTTGGCCTTGGCTGTTCAGTTCCTGTTGCTGTTTCCTGGCTTTTTCGGTTCCCTGGCCTTGGCTGTTCGGTTCCTATTGCTGTCCCTTGGCTTCTCCCGTGCCTTTTTCTTCCCCTTTTTGGTTGGTTGTGGGGGGCGGCTGTTGTTGGCTGTTTGCCTCCTTTTCTTTCCTATTTATAATGGAGTTTTGGGCTGTTGTGAGGAGTTTTTTTTGAAAGTGAAAACAAAGTCAAAACCTGAGTGTTTATTCTCTAGCTTGAGAGCTACTTTTTCACTTCTTGTTTCTTCTTCCAAGTCTTCTAACCCTTTCTTCTCTCCACAAGTTTCCACCCCATTATATCCTTATTCTAAAATTGAGAGTGGTGTTATTTGGTAAGTTTTGTTGGGATTTGCCGGAGGAATTGTGGCAGACGTTGGATTGGATCAAAGTTGCTGTGGTGGACCATTAGTTTGCATGTCATTGAGCATTATATTTACCTAATTTATCGTTACATGTGAGGTGACCACTAGCTGGTTGTTCTGAGGGTAGTTTCTTTTGATTTTCTTTCTTCTTATAAAATAATTTCAGTTTGTTTAATATTATTTGGTGATTTGCTTACTAAAGTTTTGGATCAAGTTGTATTGTACTTTCTTTTGTGTTCTCCATTGGGCTTTAAGATTTCTAGTTCTCATCAATTTGGTATCAGAGCCCTAGGATGTCGTTCTAGTCTTCCGTTCTTCTAAAAAAAATGGAAAATCATGATCAACCAAGTAATCTTGAAGTCCAAATTTCAACAAGAAAATGGGTCCCATCACAAGGAAACTCTACCGATCCCATCCAAAACGAGCTTAACAAAATTCAACATAAAATGCGCTTGTGTACAGAAAAATACGATAATATAAAGCAACTTCTTCAGGCCCAGTTTAAGCAAGAAAGAAAAAAATCCAAAAAAAATATGCTGCTTTAATTTTAGAGTTGGATAAGGTTAATTCAACGTGTAAAGGAGATTCAGATTCGATCTCATCAGGAGATGAGAACTCTCTCTGTCACGACCCAACCCGACCGGGACGGGTCCCGCTCGTATCGGGTCGTGAGGCCTGAACTTTCAGACTGACTGAACTGATTCCAGGATCTGGCTTTTGAATTTGTTTCAGAACTTTCTTTCAAACATTACACACAGAAACAGACACACAGAGCTACTATAAACATCAATAGACAGCGGAACAGATCATCTATCTTTTTCCTCAAAAGAATCATATACAAATACAGCTCATGACTTTCAGACAGAAAGAAAAGCAGAACAGAAAAGGCATGACTGTACAAAAATCAAAAAGACAAAAATACCTATAACGGATCAGACTCTGAACTCTACTCCTGGACTTCCTTCCCCTTCCCAGAACCTGAAAACCACGCAGAAAACAAGGATGAGCTACAACAGCTCAGCAAGATATCAAACCTCCAATCAAAATCCTCAGAGTCCACATCAAACACATCAGACAGAAATCCAAACAGAAATCAGAACAAAATCATATATTGAATCAGAACAGAATCGTACAGATCAGAGCAAATCAGAACAGAGCAGAAATACATCACATCAGAACTGACAGAACGTACAAAAATCAGAAATCAGATTAAAATCATATCAGATCAGAAGTCATATCAGAATAGACAGAATCGTACGGAAATCAGAGTCAGATCACAGTCAAAATTGCCCGGCCGATCGCACGATCGTCCTGGACGATCTGAACAAATTCCACATCGTCCTGGGACGATTTCGCAGGACGATAATTAATTTCCAGGACGATTTGCTCTCTGACTTTTGCCATACACTGATCGTCCCGGGACGATCCCAGATCGGCCCGGACGATCCCTACAGGAAATCATTCCTGTAACTTCTGGACAGAAACTGGAACAAAAACTGCCCTAATCGTCCCGGGACAATCCAGATCGGCCCGGACGATCCTGGAGCAGATCTGATATTACACTCTCCCAGGGGAGAATTGATGTAACCAAGTCCACCCCCTGGTGGCTGTTCGGTTTCTGTGGTTGTCCCGGTTCCCTGGCCTTGGCTATTCGGTTCTTGCTGCTGCTCCCTGACTTTCCCAATTCCCCTGGCCTTGGCTGTTCGGTTCCTGTTGCTGTCGCTTGGCTTTCCCGATTCTTTGGCTCTTCGGGTGGGCTTCTTTGGGCGATTGCTTGGGTGCCTTTTGGGCTCCTTTTCCCCTGTTTTGGGCGGCTGTTTTGGGTGTCTTTTGAGTCCCTTTTTCCCTATTTATAGGGGTTATTTGTGGCTATTTTAAATATGAGTTATGTGATAATTTTTGGAGTAAAAACCTGAGAGTTTTCTTAACTTGCGAACTAGTATTCTTCTACCTCCTCTATTATACCTCGTCTCGTTCTTCTATCTATTTCTTCTCGCCATGGTAACCCTTCCAATTGTATCTTTCTTCTAAAAAATATATATTTAAGTTGTAGTGTGTCTTTATTTTAAGTTTGTAATGTCTATGTGATGTCTATGAAAAAGGAAGACGTATATTTATTTGCATATCTAGTGTTCTCCTACTAGCCTTAGGAATCCTAGGTTGCATCAATATCTCTTATGTGATGGAGAGATGGTTAAGACATATGAGAGTATTAAGTTTAATCACACATCATATAATTAAAAAAATATTGGCGTGGAAATACAAAATACTTGTGTTTTAGACCAGTCAATGTTGATTATAATGCTATTTTTTTATTCTCAAGTTCAGTTGTATGAAGATTCAATTTTAGTTGCATTGTTAATAGGGATGTAAATCAGTCAAGTTCAATTGAGCATGAGCTTTCTTGAACTTGAATTCATTTGCCAAAAACCCTATTTGACCTCAAGCTCAAACTTGATTCAACCATTTATAGTAGTGTTTGGATCTTGGTTTAATATATGGATACTGATTTAATCTCTCTCAAGTTCATTTAACCATAATATTTTCTTAAATTATGGGAGGTTTGCTCTCTGACGCGTGCTGAAACCCATCTATCAGGTGCAAATTATCCGCATACAGTTCAGAGTTCCAGAATATGGTTGGACAACTCAAAAACTTTTCCACTTGATGAATTTTTTTGTCAATGGATGTATGATAAGTCATGAATCCTTAGTTTCTCACAGTGTTCATGCTTCACACTTTTTTCTAATTACTAAGCCTTATTTTTATTGACAGTGCGTGCTCTTCTCTTTGGGTTTTACCCGAATGTTTTTGTTCTCAAACCTAAGGTAAGTTTCTTCATCGCTAAGAATTATTTTTATGTTAACATTGAAGCCCGCAGGTGAAATATGTTATGGTAAGTATGATTAGACGCTTCTCCTTCTCATCATTAGATCTATTCTATACTCCTGTACAACTACATGTTTTTAAAATTCGATTGCATATTGGTGCTATGCCATGCATCTCTTAAAACTATAAGAAGGTGAAGTTTGTTCTCTCTGATTGTAAATTTATAAATCCTTCTTGTATATGCTGATAAAGTAAATAATCTGTTATTTGGGTGTTGCTTATTTGTGATGCTTTGTTTCATGTCTTGCTCTCTGGAACGTTTGGTTTGGTTTGAGTGATTCACTTTGCTGGCAATGTTGATAAATTGTCTGTAGTTGATATGATGAACTAATTGAAAGTTTGCTGGAGCCAAAACTTGCTGGCCAAATTGTATGGAAAATTCTGTTTTAGTTTGGTCAAAAGCATTGTGTGAAGAGATATCTCGAGGATTTAATTAGGGGATGAAGTGAACGTGAAGCAGAGGCCATCTTGAGGCTAATCTTTGGGGCTTTATGTATGATGGCGGTGGCAGGAAATGGGAGGATGAAAGAAGAGATGGTGCTAAGGCTATCATCTGGTGATGCCTATTTAATGATGTCTTGAGGCTAATCTTCAATTGGGGGTTTATGTATGATGGTGGTGGAGGGAAATGGGAAGAGGAAAGAGGAGTTGGAGCTAAGGCTATCATCTGGTGGATATGATGACTTGGAAAGAAGTTTTAGGATATATCGAGAAGTCATCTTGCTATAGTCATTCATTATTTGGAGAAGTGAAGGGATATCTTCTTTTTCATATATGCTTTAATCTTTCATTTAGATAATCTGATCTCTAGGATGGTACAAATTTTTTCTGTTGAGCTTAATATTAATTGCTAGTGTTTTGAATCTAATATTAATCTTGTCTACTTCTTGAACATATTTTTTAATTAATGAGCTATTGCTGTTGCTGGCATGTGATCCTTGGCTAGAAAAAAGTCACTACGACTCTTATATGTATGGGGAAATTGCTAAATAGAGATGTCTTCCCTATGATCATGAGGACATTGAGAAAATGCATGTGGTATGACACTTTTTATCTTGTTTCCTGCACAAAAAAATATTATTATCTGTTTTTTGAAAAGAGAAGGACCTGAAACCATTACCAAATGAGAAAGTAGATATATCATTCTGAAAAATCTAGTGAAAGAGGATAAACCTTTTGAGGTCTCAACGATACATTTAAGAAAAAAATTTATCTTGGAACTTCCAAATTCAACAAAGGGGCATGATGCTATCTTTCCTCTTGTTCTTGCTTTTTTACAACATTACTTTGCTTGATGTTCTAAAATTTTGATGTTTTTCTTGTTTTTAAGTTATTTATTGAATGAATACTTCTGCTGCATGTTGTTCCCAGCCTTTTAGTTTTAAATGTTTTATGCATGAGATATTCTTGGAGAATTCTGCGGTTGAAGTACTTATGCGCATGTAAGGCCACAAACATATGGCAAATGAAAGAGGTTGGTAGGGGTCCTAGAAAATTGTTTTGATGCCTTGCTGGGAAACATCATCTGAGTTGAGAATCGTGATTCCACAATCTGAATTTGTATGTAGTTATTATGTGAGAGAATTATTAAGACATCTTCATTTGAAGCTTTATATGGTCTTATGACTCAAATGGCGCACTTACTGGAGAATAATCACTTCAGTAATGATGCAAAAGGTTTTGATGATACTGTAAAGTTGACACAAGGAAGCGAGGGCTGCGTTAAAAGCTAAATAAGAAAGTAACGCTGTTATGGAAACTCAACGTCGAAGGAGAAATAACGTGTTATTTTTGCACTTTCTACGTGGTAGATATATTTCGGAAACAGCATAATTTAAGGTTGCAGGTGTTTGGGGCATGCAAAATCTATGTAGACAATCAATTCAAGTGATTGCTCGATTAAATTTCCTTCAGGTATAACCGTATAAATGATTTTCATTTTTGATCTTTCTGATATGCATCCACTAGGAGTATATTTTCTGGGTAAAATAATGCTGCAGTCATAAGTGATTTCATGCCAAATGGCGATTCTGATGTATTTGAAAATTTAGCTGTTCCTCTAGATGTAACAATGACATAGCACTGAATATCAACTTTTGGTGAAATGGTTGGGAAAGTATGCTATGAGAGAAGAGGCTGAGTATCATAAGAAGAGTTAAAGAAGATTGATCTTGAAATATATGGTAGGACCAATAATTAGCCCTCACAAGAGCAGGACTTCCCTTGTTTGTGAGAATGGTCTGGAGTGTTCGGAAAAAAAAAAACCTATATCAGTTCCTTGAACAAAATTTATCCTTATGCCTTAGGTATAAGATATAAATTATTTAAGTAAGGTCGCCAAGGCCTTAGCCCTTCCTTTGCTTTCCCTTATATAACCTTCATCTTATTATTTCATTATTTCAGGTTCTTGAGATAGCACTTTTTGATCTTCCCAGTCTACTCTTCTTTTCAACATACACTCTACTTGTGCTGTTTTGGGCAGAAATATATCATCAGGTATATGCAATTATATGGATGTTTACTCGTTGAAAATCATGGTAAACTTGTCACCCTTGTACTTTGTTCTTTTTGAATTCATTTCAGGCTCGAAGTCAACCAGCTGATAAGCTTAGACCTGCCTATATAATAATTAATACTATCGTGTATGTGATACAGGTGAGAAAATATTTCATATTTGAAACAATATGCTTTAGTAAGCTTAATTTATTTTTAAACTTGCTACTGCAGATTTGGATTTGGGTATATATAAAAGCTAGTCCAAGGTCTATTGCTGGTGATATGGCTAAGCTCTTCTTATCAGGTGCTTTACATGATTTTGTTCACTGGTGAAAACTGTACCTTCATCATTATCATTACCTTTCCTCAATTATTTGAGTTTTTCTTTTGAAAATTCATTTTTCATTCCTTATAATTGAATCGGCAAGAGTTGTTAATTTTAGCTTGCATAAGTATCGTTGCACTTTTGGTGATGTTAAGTTAATATTCTTATCTTATTAGGGCATTTTCTATCCTCTTGTGTATAATGGTTGTTTTTCTCATGTTCGATAACATTGTGGGTCATTTTGCTTTAGGGGTTGTTTGGTTGGAGAAAAAGTGAATGCAAAGCATTTACTTCGCTTTGCGTTTTTACTTTTTAGTGTTTGACTGGGTGACAAGCAAATTCAAAGTAAAGTATTGTAAATGTACGATATTTCATTTTAGTTCATTTTTTAGATAAAGCATTCTCCCCCAATTATGGGCGAGAACGCTTTACACAGCTTGCTCCTTGCTTGAGCACCACTGTCGACCACGACCACCAGCCGCCGCCCCCGACCGCCAGCTTCCGCCGGCCACTACAGCCGCCCACCTCCCCCGACGCCACCGTTGCTGTCCACCACTGCCATTTAGGACTTTACTCTACGTTCATTTCTTCTAAGTAAACAAAAAAAAAAAAATCACTTGCATTTACTTTACAATTTATCCAAACAACTCCAAAGTATTTCTTTTGCAGTACATTCCTTTTACTCTACATTCTTTTTTCAGCCAACCAAACAAACTCTTAATTTTTTTTTGGAAGTTTTTATGATATTCTCTTTTCATGTAATATACGTTTAAGGCATTTTGTTTTAGCCATCCAACCATAGTTCTATGAGTTATATCTTCTTTTTACATTGCTAATTTTTATAAAATAGATTGAAGATACTTTAACTTAGCACAGGTATATATCACATTATTCTTCAACAATATTGGTTAATCATTATTAACTTCAGACCCATTAAAAGTGCCAACTTTCTTCATATTCTCCGTCATTATTTTACTAATTCTAAGCCCATTATTATTTTTATTATTGGTGTTGTTCAAAATTTTCACCTTTTTAATAGTGGTCTCACCTATTAGGCCAAGATATCTCACATTGAATATCATTTAAAATAATATAAAATTAATTCAATGAATATGGTCTTATTATTGATTTTTGATATAACCATCTTGCAAATGAGAGCTCTTTGGTCACTTTATAACATGCATCTTAGTTAATTTTCAATAGTACATGACTTTTTGTAATTTCTAACATATCTCGACACTCACTTTATTCTTAACCCACAAGATGTAAATTATCATGCCATCTCTTCTAAAAAGAAAGAAAAATAAAATTTCTATGAATATTCTATCTTTTTCCATGCTTTTCATTAATCTTCTAGCAACATGTTGCTTTTGATATGTGCCATAATATTCATGATGATAGATAGTTTTTTCGTTTCAATGTTGTATGAAGATCATCCCACACACAAATAGAATAGTCACAAGCAATGCACAAGATAAACATAAATTTTTATGTGGAAATCTAGAAAGGGGGAAAATTATAGGATCTAGGTTAGCTAAAATGCTTCTGCAAGTTTAAGTTGAGAATTACAAATGCCTTCCCTCTATAATCGAGGAAGATTGATTCAAATATGTAGTATTGTGGGATACGTCCCTTATAGCAATGATGGTGGGAGTATGAAGATGTATGATAGGCGACATGCGACATGCTTTAATCGACGATGAGTGTTGAAAGTTTTGCAAAGATAGGCATTGGAGATCATTTGATGACAAGTAATGGATGTCGGTTGATTGAGGGCATCAAACATAAATTTGATGACTTTAGATGTCAAGTGACAAAAGATGTTCATTGGGTGTTAGTTAACAATTTACTTCTGACAAAAGTGGTGATAGATGTTAGATTGGGATATGGAGGCAATCTATTGGGATTTGAGACAAAGTGAATAGGAAGTTAAAGGAGAAGTTTGAAAGAGCAAAAGAGCAAAGACATTAGGTTGTTATTTGAAACGATGGTTGAAGTTTTGAAATTCTTTATGATTCAAGAACTCTGTTAGCTGAAAATTTGCCTTGAATGTGTAGAAAAATATTTATAAAGTTGTGTTAGGACTTGAGCATTAAAATCAACGAACAAATAGTAAAGTTCAGCAAACCAACATATTTTCTTGATAAGAAAGGAAACACGAACAAACAAGATATAGTGGTTTTCTTTCGAGAGGAGGATTTTCTCTCCCAAACTCTAGATGCCACTAGAACCCTTACAAAAATAGTGGACTAAAAGAACACTCACAAAATCCACATGAAGAAAAGAAAAATACAACCAAAAGGCCTAATATAATTCTCCCTATTTTCCCCTAAAACCTGAATTTACTCCTTCATGTTTTCCCCCAACATTCTCCTTTGATAAATGATCCACTCATTTAATTATCCTCCCTTTCCAACCCCCCTTTTCAACCTGCCAGTCCCCCCTCTCAAGTGGGTCCACATCCTTGACCGCCTAGCCTTCCTTGAGCCACTCGCCTGCTGAGTTGAGCCAACCCTATTTCGGGCCGGTTGTAGTGAATGGGCTTGCTTAGTCGGTCCATCTATACTCCTTTGACCTCCAATGGTTTTAACAACACCTCCATGTTGTCCATCAAAGTTGGGGGAGGTGAAGAGAATAGCATGTGCTCTCCTATCACATGTCGCAACCGAGACACTAGGTGGATGGTTGACGATGATGATAACTGTAGGTGATATACCACAACACCAATGCACTTCACTATCTCATAACAATTAACATAATGGGGTGATAACTTATCATTCCTTTTCCGTGCCAAGGTTCTCTATATGTAGGGTCGAAGCTTCAAGTAAACCCTGCCCCCACCTCAAATTGAATGTCTATCCTTTGTGCATCTATTTGTCTCTTCATAATTTGTTGAGCTCTCAACAAATGCCCCTTAAACTCCACGAAGATCATGTCTCTATCCTCCAATACTGCTCTACTAATGCCACCTGTGTGCTACATTATCCATAATATGTCAAGTGAGGCGGATCTTCCGTATAACACTTTGAACGATTTTGTCTGAGCTGCCAAATGGTATGAATTGTTATATCAATACTCTACCCATGCCAACCCACAACTTTGGTATATATGATGTTAAACACCGAAGATAAATCTCCACGCTACGATTGACCACCTCTATATGTTTGTCAGTCCATTTGAGAATGATAAGCAATTCTCCTTTTCAGAACGATCCCTTACATCTTGAACAATTCCTTTCAGAACTGACTATGAAAGATCTTGTCTTAATCCGATAAAATCGATTCCGATATCCTATGTAGTCTCATCACCTCCCTTATGAAAACTATCACTACTGATATTGTTGTATAGGGGTGGCAAAGGGGAAGGAAATGGACATACTTACTCAATCGATCTACTAGCACTAGTATCGTAGTATATCCTTCTGACTTTGGAAACCCTTCAATGAAGTTCATGATCATCTCCTCCCACACCTTTTATAGCATAGCTAACGGCTGAAGGAGCCCTCCTGGAGACATTGCTAAATACTTGTGCCTCTGACATATATCACAGCTAGCCACCATCTTCTTGACATCTTTCTGTATACCCTCCCAATACAGCTCTGCAGAAAGCCGGTGATGTCTTTTTGGCCCTCGAATGTCCCCCAATGGCCATCCATGAAACTCTTAAAGCAATCAGGGAATGTAATAATAGGTTTTGGAAGCACAAACTGCCCATAATGAAGCAAATTTTGTCCCACCACTGAGTATCCCGGATGACTGTCCTTATTTTCCACCAGCTTCTCCCTAATTTTCCTCAATCTTACCTCTTGTTCGCTCTCTCTCCTCAATGCTTCCCAATAAACCACTAATGTCACAGACAATGCCATTATCTAGTGCTCCCCGTTGCACCTGGATAAACCATAAGTTGCTTTGTTTTCAACCCCAGATCGATATTCAATCTCAAAGTCATAGCCCAATAACTTGGAAAACCACCTTTGATGCTCCTCAGTAACTATTTTCTGCTCCAACAAAAACTTCAAACTCCTCTGGCTAGTCTGACGATGAAATGTTTCCAATAAATAAGGCCACAATTTTTAAATGGCCAACACAATCGCCATCAGCTCCCACTCATAGACTGACTTGAGTCTTGCTTTAGCCGTCAACACATGACTGAACTAGGCCATTGGTCTATGGTTTTGCATGAATATCGCTCCCAACCCAAAACCCGAGGCATCTGTCTCAACTACAAAAGACTGGCTGAAATCTGGGAGAGCTAATACTGGCACACTGGTTATAACCTTCTTAAACTCCTCAAAAGCCTAGGTGGCTGACTCTCCCAAATTGAAGTTGTCCTTTCTTAGATATTCTGTCAATGGCCCTGCTATAAAATTGTATCATTTCACAATTTTTTTGATAGTAGCCTGTCTCCCAAGAATCCTCTTAGCTCCTTAAAGTCTTGCGTATGGGCCATATGAGCTTGGCCTCAATCTTACTCTGGTCATCTTTCACTTCCTCTTGAGATACCACATGCCCAAAATACTCCACTCTGGGCTGGGCGAAAGAACACTTCTTCCAATTGAAAAACAAAGTGTTAAATGCTCCAAGTGCTCCCTCTTAGACCTGCTATATACCAATATATCGTCAAAAAATACTAGCACAAACCTTCACAAGTAGGGATGGAATACCCTATTCATCAGAGATTGGAAAGTGGCCGGTGCTTTAGTGAGGCCAAAAGGCATCACAAAAAATTCATAGTATCCCTTGTGCGCCCTAAAAGTTGTTTTATGGGTATCTCGTGCATTCTGATTTGGTGGTATACGAATTTCAATTCAATCTTGGAGAACATCCTAGATCCATGCAGCTCATCTAATAACTCATCAATGACTAGTATGAGAAACTTGTCTGGTACAGTTTCCTTGTTCAGGGAAACTCCAACTTCCATTATTCACCAACAATACAGGACTAGAGAAATGGTTCAAACTGGGCTTGATGATTTTAGCTTTAAGCATCTCCCGAATTTAGTCTCTCAATCTCATCCTTTTGAATCTGAGTGTAGCGGTATGACCGGACACTAATGGGAGAGACTACTTCCTTTAGAACAATAGAGTTCTCTGCTCCCATGGGGGTGGCAATCCTTGGAGAAGCTGGAATACCTCCCTGAACTACTAAAGAAGTGGCTGGACAATGTCTGGAATGTCCTCTATCTCCTCTGTCTCTCCTCTCTCTGAATTCTAGAGCTCCACCAAGAACCCCCCTCCTTCCCCTTGTATGGTACAAACTATGGTTTTTAAAGAAACCATTGCTTTGGATAAACTGGGGTCTCCCATAAGTACCACTTTTCTACCCTCCACCTGGGTCTTTATAGCTAATGCCTTCCAGTTTACCTTAGTCTTCCCCAAGGTTTGTGGCCACTTTATTCCCAAAATCAAATCACTATTTTCCAACTCCAATAAAAGAAAATCTTTCTTGATGTTAATCCCCCGCAACTCTACCACCAATCCTTGATAGATCCCTCTACTCTTCTCCACCTTTCTTGTGCTCGTCACCACTCTAAAACATCCCGTGTCCACTAGTTTTAACCCTATTTTGTCCACCACCTTGTTCGATATGAAATTGTGAGCCCACTATCCATCAGGATTGCCATTGCCTCTCATTCTATCTATCCCCTCACCTTCATAGTGTGATTCATGGTGAATCCCACTACATAGTTCAATGAAATTTCAGCCAACTCGAAGTGTAAGGGCTCCTCTTCCTCTACCTCCTCCCTTGCTGCCTATGCATCATCAACCTCCTCCTCATCACACATAATGAGAACCTGCAATATACGATTTTTACATCTATGCTAGTGTAAATTTTTCATCGCATCTGAAACATAGCCCATTTTGATCACCTAAGTGGCACAAACAGATCATCCTAAAGATGAGATCATCCTATCATTTCCAAGTTAAAGGAGGGATCAATTTGGATCATCGAATATGGACTTTTATGTGGTAAATAATGGCAAAGGGACCAAAACAAATTGATGGACCGGTTGAGCTGGTCCATTCACTACAGTTGGTCCAAAATAGGGCCGTCACAACCCAACAAGCGGGTGGCTTAGAACAGGGGTGGGAAGGCCAGACGGTCAAGGACGTGGGATTACGTGAGTGGGCGGCTGTCAGGTTGAAAAGGGAGTTGGAAAGGGAGGATAATTAAATGAGTGAGATCACTTATCAAAGGAGAATGCGGGGAAATGCATGAAAGAGTAAATTCATGTTTTGGGAATAAAATATGGAGAGTTATATTTAAAGTCTTTTGGTTGTATTTTTCTTTTCTTCATGCAGATTTTGTGAGTATTCTTATTGTGCACTATTTTTGTAAGGGAATCTAGCGACGTCTAGAGTTTGGGAGAGAAGTTTATTCTTTCGAAAGAGGGCCATTATATCTTTTTTGTTCGTGTTTTCTCTATTATCAATATGATATGTTGGTCTGTTGAATTTTACTATTTGTTTGTTGATTTTGGTGCTCAAGTCCTAACAAAATGATATTAGAGCAATTTCTTGGAACAAATAGCAAGAAGAAGAGTTGAGGCGTTGGAAGAGAAGCTGGAGGAAATTGGACATATGCAATCCAATTTGGGAGCAATAGATGAACATTTTTCAGCAGTGGATGAGCATTTTTTAGCAATAGAAGGAAGGTTTAAAAATCTCGATGATATAATGAAACATATGTTAAAGAATCGAGATAAGGTGGCTCCGTCGGAAGCAAGGGGAATCATGAAAGTGATATGCCGAGGGAAGACAAAGAGGTGAAAATTGGAGGAGAAGAGTGTTGACGAATATTTTCGTATCAACCCGACCCCGATCGAGCCCGACTAGACTCGATCGTGCTTGATCGACCCAATTGAATGTCGTCGACACACACAAACCCTTGAGCCTTTATTGAGGAGGGGTATGAATAGGGGATATGGAGGTTGGAGGGAATGTGAAAGAGGAGAACAGGCAGGTTGAATACGACGGGAGATGGGAAAGGGAACTATTGAGAGATCCTAATGCTCACTTCATGTGAGGCATGGGAAAAGGAAGAGTATATTGTGGGTCTTCGAAAGTGAAACTGCTAGCAAGGATTAGACTGCAATGGATATGATTGCAATATTCTGTAGGACAAACGGTCAAAGACCTTTACACTCAATGTAAGCATGCCAATGGAAGAGCAAATAGAATTATACATATGATTATCCATGAAAAATAGTGTCTTTTGGATACACATCTCGATGGATAATGATATATATATAATTAAATAGTCACGAAATTTCTCCCATTAGATATATCAGCTTGAGTGAGGTTTATTTGATATGGGTGTTCGTTTCCAACGGTTGCAAGCCCCTATAGTTAATTTCATTTTAGGTTTTGACCTAAGAATATTCTCGATTAGTGATGTTATTTCATTCTCTTCTTGGTTTGGTACTTAGTGGGATTCTTAAGTTTTTCTAATCTAAAGGAGATAGTCTCAACATCATATTCAACACGCTCAAGGATCATGCAATCATCCGGTCAGTATGAGGGGAAAAAATTAAGAAAGGAGACATCACATATAAAGCATCAAGAGAGAAAGATAGAAGAGATGTCATAAGTGTGACGTGGATAAGTGAGATTTATAGCCTCCCAAGAATAAAGAGCTCACCCAACGATAAATCATGTAGCGATATACTCATACTGCCAGCCTGATCTATAAGGGACATACTATGCCCTTAGTAACGTACTGTACCTTCAGTATTAATGCCCTCGACCTACTTAATACAAGACAATGATGAGACTTATAACTTAACTCCAACTAGGGATCTAAACATCCCTGACCTGGATTTATCATCCTGGTCTAAAAGGAGTACCAGTTAAAACTCCACATAACATTTTAAATACATGCAGTCCAGTCTTATGCAAATGCAAGAGTGGTGGGAAAAAATTGCATAAGGATAGCTTGACGCAATTTACTAGTTATTGAATTTATGTTAAGATTCGTGTATCCCTTGAATATTATAATTACCATTAATTTCAGCATAAATCCAAAGGGCTATTAAGCCTTTCCTGACGTAAATCAGGATATTCTTACGCAATTCCTCATATATCTGTATATTCTTTTACGGAAAAAGAAAAGAATATTTTTCGCTTTTAACTTCACAGCATAAGAAGATAGGCTTTTATTGGCTTAATGACAGCCACCTGACTGATCTAGCAATTCTCCATTTCCAGCATTTTTTCTCTCTCTAATTACATTTAAGAGCATTCTTAAGACAACATGCTTAGCCCTTTCTTTATTAGAACGAGCAAAGAACTTCCAATTTCTTAGCACTAGTTGGGATGCATATGATGTAATGCTGGCTGTTTGTTTTGTTAGTTCTCTCGTTCTTTGCTGCTCTGGGCTTCCTAATATATGGTGGAAGGTAAGTTTATACATCCGGATTAAATATTACCGTATTGTGCTCTTATGTCCTTTTCCTCATTTAGACTTTGCTTTTGAAGATTGTTCCTTATGCTGTGGCGTTTTCCTATTGAATCCAAAGGCCGAAGCAAAAAGCTGAATGAGGTGATCATATTTTCATTACTTGGTTTTCTCCTATATTCTATGGATTGAGTGACTTTTTTTCCGTATACGTCATTTTTCTTAATTACCAACCCCCAGTTTTTCTAGCTTTTTGTTAATTATCTATTGGAGGGATATGACTTTTTTTAACTTACATGCTGCTTTGTTTTTAATCCAAAGGGCTGTTTGGGACCAAATTTAACCGGATTTATGCAGGATTTGATCAGGATTTATGCTAAATCCTACCAAATGGAATTTGAGCACCCGATAATATTTAATAGGAGAGCTTTCAACCCAAAACAACAAACCACAAGCGAAAATTGGAAGAACATACCTAGAATAATTTTTTTTGCAAGAATTATGAAGAAAAGCAACAAGATACAAGGTTCTTCAATTGGAGAGGAAGATTTGACTCTCTCAATCCCTAGCCGGCGTATAGAGCCCAAAATTTCCTAAGCACAAACTAATTTTAGCCAAAATCAAGCATAAATCCTTACCCTAGGGTGAAAACAACTATTAAATGCAAACAATTCAGAGTAAAATACCAAAACAACCCCCAAAATTCAAATTTCTCTCTCACCCGCCCCCTCCTCTCTCTTCATTAGCGTGTGGACTGCACCTCAAGGGGGGCGGAAAATGCCTTGGGCGGAACCAGGCTTTCACCTGGTGTATACAAAGACTTGACTCTTTTGGACCGGTCTAACAATACCCCCCCTCCCAACGAACCAATTTATCCTCAAGGTGGAAGGACGGAAATTAATATTTCATCCTCAATGCGGCTCCCACGTGGCGTCGTACTCGGCTAGGTTCTTCCAATTTATTAACACTTCCTTACTTCCTCTCTCTCTATTGTTCTCCTTCCAACTCTAGTGGTTCCAAAACCACCTCCAAAACCTCCGTAAATATCACCGATAACTCCGTACTGGATGCATGATTCCCTATAGCTCTCCTCAACTGTGACACATGAAATACCGGGTGTAGGTATCGGTCGGTGGTAACCTCAATCGATTCGCTACTATTCCAATCCTCTACAATATCTCATAAGGGTCAAAGTATCTCAGGGTCAGCTTCTTATTCCTCCTACTAGCCACCATCTTTTGTCTGCAGGGATGAAGCTTCAAATACACCCTAACCCCTATCTCAAACTGAATGTCCTTCATGCACCCATCTGCCTACCTTCTCATGATATGTTGGGATGTCGACAAGTGTCAAATTCCTCTAGCACCCTATCCCTATCCTCCAAGTACTGCTCTATTAAAAATACTGGTGTGCTACTTTAACCAAAGTGCACCAAATGAGACAGATCTCTTTCTTACAAAACTTTGAAAGGAGTTATTGGGAAGCCGAATGATACAAAGCGTTGTACGTACTCTACCAACGCTAGCCACTTGGCCCATAGCCGAGGTGTCTCTGAAGCAAAGCACTGTGGTATGTCTTCAGGCTTATGTTTTCCACCTTTGTCTGCCCGTCTGTTTGAGTGTGATAAATGGTGCTCCTCTTCAGCGCGGTCCTCTGCAGCCTAAGTAGTTCCCTCCAAAAGTGATTGGGAAACACCTTGTCTCGATCGGACACTATAGACTATGGTATCCCATGCAATCTGACCACCTCTCTAATGGACACCGACGCCACTGTCACTATCGTGTAAGGGTGTCGTAAGGGAATGAAATGAGTACATTTGCTCAATCTGACTACCACTACCAAAATAATCGTAAATCCCTTAGATTGGGGTAGCCCGTCTATGAAATCTATGGAGACCTCCTCCCACACTCTGCTTGGAAAAGCCATGGGTTGTAGTAGTTCCCTCAGAGCCATGGCCAAGTAATTGTTCCTCGAGCATACCTCACAGTTGGACATCATCTCCTCTACATCCTTGTGCATCTCTTACCAATATAACTCTGCAGCCAATCTCTTGTATGTCTTCTGCACACTAGAGTGACCCCTAAAAAAGGCTCCCGTGGAACTCCTGTAGCAAGTGTGAGGTATGGATCGAGGTTTGGGGCAGCACAAACCTCCCCTGGTGCAACAGTCTCTCCCCACATACGGAATAGCCAGGGTGGCTATTCTCATCCTTCAGTAGATCCGCTCTGATCCTTCTCAGCTTCCCGCCCTACACACTCTTCTCCTTAATAGCCCCATAATCCAACATCAATAATATCGAAATGGCTAACTAATAATAAATGAAGAAAAGAAAAAGAAAATGAATGATCGATCAGATGAATCCTTTCACTACACGGATCTTGGGTCGTCATATTCCCGCCCTACACACTCTTCTCCTTAATAGCCCCATAATCCAACATCAATAATATCGAAATGGCTAACTCCTGGAGCTCCCCTCTCATATAGATAAGGCATCATCCTTCTTGTGGCCCTTGTTCTCCAACCCTAGCCTATATTGGATCTCAAAATCATAGCCCAACAATTTTGATAGCCACCTCTGATGCTTCTCGGTCACCATTCTCTGCTCTAACGGGTACTTCAAGCTCCTCTGATTTGCCCTAACGATGAAGTGTCGGCCCAAAAAGCAAGGTCGCCATTTTTGAATAACTACATTATTGAATAACTAACACAATGACCATCAACTCCCTTTCATAGACCAATTTCAGTGTGATTTTGGTTATCAACACATGGCTGTAGTAAGATATAAGCTGGTGGTTCTGCATGAGCACTGCCCTCAATCCACATCCTAATGCATCAGTCTCGACCACAAACATCTGGCTGAAATCAGGTAGGGCCAGGACGGGTACCGTGGTCATGGTTGTCTTCAACCTCTCAAAGGTCTGGGTCATTGCCTCTCCCCACAAGAAGCTATCCTTCTTCAGCTGTTTGGTTAGTGGCCAAGCTATGGTGTTGCATCCCCCTCACGACTCTCCTATAGTACTCAGTCAACCCTAGGAATCCTCTCAGCTCCCTTAGAGTCCAAGGCAGCGACCATTTCAACATGGCCTCAATCTTGGTCTAATCAATGGCCACCCCCTCCTAAGATAATATGTACCCCAAGTACTCTACACTAGTATGTGGAAAACAACATTTATTTAGGTTAGCCCTCATTTGATGCTCCTGTAACACCCCTAAGACCACCCTCAAATACTTCAAATGCTCCTCCTTAGACTTGCTGTACGTTAGGATACATTGAAGAAAACCAGAACACACTTCTTAAGGTATGGTCAAAACACCCTGTTCATGAGAGACTAGAAGGTAGCAGGGGCGTTGGTAATGGCATATGTGCTCCCTGCATCTCCCCTAATCACCACCCTTCTCCCTTCCATCATTAGCTCCATTGTCAGCGTTCCCCAATTTACTTTGGTATCCCCTAAGGTTTGCAACCATCTCATTCTTAGGATGACATATGTGCTCCCTAGCTCCAATGGGAGAAAATCCTCCCTCACCTGGACTTCCTGTATAGTCAGGACCACTCTCCTACACACTACTCTATCTATCTCCATCTTCCAGTCTCCATCATCATCCCATGACACCCTGCTTCCACCAGTTTCACCCCCAATTGGTCTGCGACCTGATTAGAGATGAAGCTGTGGGAAGCCCCACTGTCTATCAACACCACTACCTCCCTGTCTATTATTTCTCCTCTCACCTTCATAATGTGATTCGGAGTGACCCCACCACTTATTTCAAGGAGACCTCTACCATATTTAAATGCAACTTTTTCTCCTCTATTGATGCCTCCCTCCCACCTCCCAACTCTCACCTCCCTCCTCAGCTTCCTTGTCATCACAGATAGTAAGAATCTGAAGAGTTCGGTTCTTACACATGTGTCCCAGCGTATACCTTTCATCACATCTAAAACATAACCTTTTTGTCCGCTTATCCTATACATTTGCTTTTGTAAGTCACTTGAAGTTGCCTCCCGGGTGAACTTCATTGCTCTTCTTTTTCTGAGCTTCTCTCTGAAAGGACAATGTCTGGGTTATAGGTGCTAAGGTCGTAGAGGTGCTCCTGTAAGCCCCTCCTATGATGTTGCTTCTGTTGGTCTTCTTCCTTCGATATTTTTCCTCCACCCTGTTAGCTAGCTCTATCTTCTCTCTCAATCCTTTTGGTCTAAACACCTTGAGCACTGCTCGTATGTCCTCCCTAAGTCCATGAAAATCCCTTCCAATTTTTCCTTAGAGATTCCTCTGTCTCCTGAAAGCAACTCAAACTTATCCCGGTACTCCATTACTGCCCCCTCCAGAATTAGGGCATAAAACTGCTCATGGAAGTCTCCTTCATGAATGGCTTGGAAACGTTCCAACCAACACTTCTTAAATTATCCGCATGAGTAGATCGGATGTCTGGCCTCCCTTTATTGGAACCCTCCGCCATAAGTTTTTCTCCTTCCGTCAGCCCATTGATAGCAAAGTAACACTCCACTCGGTACACCCATCCCTGAGCATCTTCCCCTTTAAAGATCGACATCTTAACTTCCTCGATCTTGCATCCATACCCCAATGATTTCTCCCACCGTTGGTTCCTCCTGTGTAATGGTGGTGCGATTCTCTCCCTTCTTCCCTTGGCGGATTTGGACCCCAGATTCAGTCCAACCATTGCTTCCTCCGATCCCCCTTCCTTCCTGCCTAGGTGGTCTCTAAAAGGGTTCAGATTTCCCTATTCTTGTTTCCCTCTTTTCGGGATACACCAATGCACCTCCCATCGAAATCCCCCTAGGTGGTCCTTGAGGGAAAACATTCTCTGCTTCATCAACATCTTCCTGAACTGTCTTCCCCTTTCAATCAGCTGTAGGAATAACCGACAAAGTCTTCGATTGCATTTCAATCAAATTCTATGTCTTCCTTGTTTCAATAGTGATTCTCTATGGATGTGAATCTTTCTTCCACGGATGTGAATTTTCCCTCCATTACGAAAAATCTCTCCTCCATGCCGACCTTGAGTTGTTCTATCTCACCTTCCAACACCTCCATCTTCTTCGCCGCCATATGTCTGATACCAACTTGATAGAAAATAGGATAGCTTTCAACCCAAAACAACGAACCACTAGCGAAAATTGGAAGAACACCCCTCAAATCATTTTTATTGCAAGAATTACGGAAAAAAGCAACAAGATAGAAGGATCTTCAATTGGAGAGGAAGATCCGACTCTCCCAAACCCTGGACGGCGGCCAGAGCCCAAAATTCCCTAAGTACAAACTATTTCAACCAAAATCAAGCATAAATCCTAACCTTAGGGTGAAAACAACTGTTAAAAGCATACAATTCAAAGTAAAATACCAAAACAACCCCCACAATTCAAATTTCACTCTCACCCGTCCCCTCCTCTCTCTTCATTAGCGTGTGGACCCCACCTCAAGGGGGTGGACAATACCCTGGGCGGAACCATACTTCCGCCTGGTGTATACAAAGGTTGGTCCCTCTTGGACTGGTCTAATATAAATCTCATGGTGAAATAAATCCTCTACTTCCCTCTTTTTGTCATAAATCTTGGTTTTACTAAATCCTATAATTTGGTGGATTTATGAGATTTGGTCGAAGATATGCATGAAGGGATAAAGATTGTTACCTTCATAGCAAGCGAGTTCCCATCGTGGCTTTTGATCAGACATCGTCGGAGGCAATGAAGCTTTTTTATTCAACAGAGCACTTCAAGCGAAGCTCGCGAGGCCAAAGCAGGCACGAAGAAATGGCAATGAGGAAAATAAATCGTAACAAAGAAATGGAGATCAAAAGCAAACCCTAAATTAATTAAATCATTAGTAATTAAAAATTAAAATAAATAGTTTAATTGATATAATTTCAAATATGAATAATTATTATATAACATTATATATAATAATTAAATAATTAATTAGTAGTAAAATATTTAAATAATTAATGAGATAATTAATAATTAAAACTAATTAAATAATATTTTTAAAAGTAATTAATTATAGTAGGGGTAATAGTTACATAATTAGTTAATTTAAAAAATAATTACTTAATTAATTAGATAATTATTAAATAATTAGATATCAAATACTTATTAAATTAATACCTAAATAAGTAATTTAATAAGTAGCACTATAATTAGTAATTAAACTATTTAATAAATAAGCTAACTTCTTATTAAATTATTTATTATTTTAACTTATTGACTGTAATTAAAATTAGAATTAATAAATAATTTGTACTTAACACGCAATTAAATTCATAATACATTAAATTTAATTTTAAATGAACCAATCACTATAAATTTTGGATTACGTTGTCAAATAGTTTTGCAGGATTTAATAGAATTTAACAAAAATTTTATCAAATAGTTTTCAGGATTTAACATACTTAGGATTTAGTAAATCACTAAATCCTATAAATTTACTAAATCCAGGATTTATAGGATTTAAACCCTACTAAAGTTAAATCCTACTTTTGGCAAACAGCTCCCAAGGGAGGACATTATGGCTTAAACAATAACGTTTGATGGAAGTTTTTCCTACAGTGCTTTTAAATATATGGGTTACAGAATCTCGATGCCAGCCTTTTTTACGATGGTTTTTATCATCATCTGAAAGGGATCCATTTGAAAAATCTGATTTGGATTGGTTTCAAGTGTCCATCCTAAACCCCGTTTTTTGTCTGGGGTTTACATGACAAGAGCCAATATTTAGCATTCTTCGCCAGTTGCGGGCCAAGATTTCATTCCATTTCGGACTGAAACAATTTAATAGGATCAAAATCCACTTCTTCATCCCGAAACAGCACCGCGAAAATAGGTGTGCTTTTTATAGTTTTATTATTTGAAAACTAGTGAAACCAGGGATCGAGAGCATCAACTCAACCACTAAGCTAAGCTACAATTATCTACTTTAGATATATATATATATATATATATATATATATATATAGAGAGAGAGAGAGAGAGAGAGAGAGAGAGAGAGAGAGAGAGAGACTAATAACTGTAATAACAAAAATAATCACTAATTATTGATATTAGATATATGTTAGTATATAATAATACGTTTATAACGAGATCAAATAGAATTTGCAATTAAAAACATCATTGTTATAAATTCTTTAGAATATTAGTTATTTATTATATTCTTCTATTCTTAAAACTAGACATTCGAAATGATACATTTAACTATCTTAATTTTATTATTTAAAAAAAAAATAAATTATTCTAAACATTTTAAATTAATTTAAAATTAATATTTTTTTAGCTTAATTCTTAAGCTATTTTTAAAATATTTTTTTAAAAGCAGAAAAGTTTACAAAAATGACGGCCTTTCGATGGTTTGGTCACATAAATGGACGGCCTTCCGATGATCCGGTTAGGAAAGTAGTGGTATTAGATTTGACTTATATTAAGAAAGATAGAGGTAGACCTAAAAAAACTTTATTAGAAAATATTAGAAATAATATTTCTTTATTAGATTTAAACGAAAATTTGACTTTTAACTGATCACAATGGAGAAAAAAGATTCATGTAGCCGACCCTTGTAGTGTAATAAAGACTTGATGTTATTGTGGTAGAAAAGTTTACAAAACAACATTGAAATCATAAAAAAAAAAATCAAGATTGAAGATTACATGATGGATTGAAACCGAGACGAAGTTTTAAACTCTTGCTTTTGACTATCATCCTTTTACTTTTATACACAATTCATGAATAATATTGGTGTTAGCAATCGTCTTTCTTGATTATCTACACTCTGTCCATCATTCCTGCACACCATTTGGTGCGCTGGTGTGCATCTTGGTGAGGGCAATTGAAGGAGGGAGTGCAATGCTCTTAAGTTGTGCTATGCAGATTCTATTGCTTTTTCTAGCCCATGTGGTGAGCTGCAGTTGCACTTCATTGCTGTTGAGCTGAGGGACAATATATGGCATTAATGGGCTGGTCTAGTTAGGTGTCATATCCTTTTCAGAAGGCAAGCATTCCAATGCATTTGATCTGTAAAATGCACTGTCACTGATTGGATATTTTTGGGATAACGTTTTTGTTGTTTTGCTTTTTAGGCCACTGCTACCCTTAAACTTTATTGTAGCTTATTATTTTTCAGAGATGTCTATGATGAGAATGAGCTTTTTTTAATTAAATTTGTTAGGTGTGATAGTTATAAGAAAGTAAAAAGGTATGTATTCCCCACAATAGCTTTAAAACATATTTGCTTTTCTTACTACAATAATTTTCAGCCACTTGGACAAGTAGTTGTAGCCACTCCAAATAGACTCAATATGTTCTGCTTTGATGGGCTCATATGGAATAATAGAGCCATATGAGAATGTTGCAAGTAATATTTAATAATAATTTTTATGTATAAAAAAAATGTTCTGCTTTGATGATGGCCATGGCTAACTCTGAGAAGATTCAAAATCATATTTCACGGGAAATTGGCATTTAAGATACCATTAGATGACAATCTAATTGAAGTCACCTTGAAGCGGCAAATGCATCTACAAACCAAACTGGGAGTTTCTTTGAATTGCAAGTTTGAGTCACATGAAAGCTGAAAAGATAAATGTCTTTTAAGCAAGGCTTAAGGGTTGGTTAAGTGTTTGACTGGGAGAAGGATTTCAATAAGCGGGTAGAACGAGAGAAAGCCGCAGTCATCTTTGTCACATGAAATGAACAACTAAAAGTGAACGTTTTGATTAAATCTAAGGTTTCGTTTGGGTCGTCTTGCTTACTGCTTCTTAAAGCAGCTTTTTAATACAAAAAATTTAAATTTTTTACTAAAAAACTACTTTAAGAAGCAGGAAGAAAGCCGTCCCAAACGAAGCCTAAGTTGAATGCTGCGATGGGAGCAGACAACACTTAACATTCAATTCGTCAATAACATTGCCAAGCTTAAATTGGTATGCATGCTCGTCAATGTTTTCATTAACATAATGGAAACGATATGTGCTTGTTATTGAAGAACCTAAGAATGGCAGAGAATAAAAACGTATTATGGAATCTATGATCAATTGGATTAATTCAATTATTATATCACAATTTTGATTTTTCATAGAATGCCATGATTACGTTTGGATCACATCTTTCTTCAGCTTGAGTCCCATTTCCTAATGCTAGCAAGTTTCCTTTTAACATCACTTCTTACTATCAAGTTTGAATGTCATTTCACAACGAATACTCTGACATGAAAAGTTATTGAATCTTGCAACTGCTTTGTTGATTAAGAACGTGATTCTCAACAAGCTCTCTTGCAGGTTGGTTATTTAACCGGGATATGCAGTACCTGTTTCCTGATAAGGTGCATTATGGTAAGTTCAATTTCTACTCGCATGGATTCCATTGAACTTTTAGGACTTCACATAGTACCCAACGTTCTTATTTCAGGGGCTATTTACCTACAAGTTTATTGAATATCATAAATCCAGATTTAATAAATATTTGAGCCATTAATATCTGAAAATTATGTAATATGATAGATGTTAAATCTGATTACATGACATTAAAATATTTGCAAATCATTTTAAATTTTAGGGTTGAAAGAAGGAAAATATACATGATAAGGAGAAGTGTAAAACTCTTGAATCTTATTTCTCCCTAGATTTATTAAATTTGGGATTTAGGCTTTGTTTGAGGTGACTTTCTTACTGCTGCTTAAAGCAACTTTTAAATACAAAAAATAAAAATTTTCTACTAGAAAGTTGTATTAAGTGGTAAGAAAGCCTTTCCAAACAAAGCCTTAATCTAAAATCAGAGAAAATGAGATTGGAAGGTAGTAGATTTTATGCTTTCAAAAATTATTTTGCAATATTTAAACTAAATATTGGCAAAATGTTGGCTAAATCTTGCAACCGAAAAACTCCTCTCAAGGTTCCAAAGCACATTACCAGCATATAGATGTTTTGAATAAATAAAAGCTCCTGAAAGAATTTTGGTACTTGTTCAGGTTGCTATTTCAGAATGTGACAAGGATGCTGACATTGATGTTCTCGATCATCCAATTCTAAACTTCGTGTACTACATGGTAAGTATTATATCTACTATTCTATAAGTTGTGAAATTGTTCCGTGCGGAATCCTAACAGTAAAGAACCGTCCGGATGTGAGTGTACACAGTATATAAAAAAATCAAACTATGTAGAAAATTATACTCAATGTACACACTATGTACACTCACATCTGAACGGTTCTTTACCGTCCAGACTCCACACAAAATAATTTCTCTTTTAAGTTTATAACTTTCAAAAGAAAGTTGGGTAGAATTATGATGACCCCTTTGGCCTTTCTTCCTGTTATTTCTCAGTTGGTTGAGATTCTTCCATCTTCTATTGCGCTCTTCATCCTGCGGAAGTTACCTCCCAAGCGAGTTTCACACCACTATCATCCAATTCACTAAATGCTTGGGCCACCTCTCAGTCTGAAAGACCTCCAAGTGAGAATTTATCTTTATTATGTTTAAAAAAATTGATCAGAATATCATAGGTTAAATTTTTTCCCATTGTTTTCTGTATTAATATTTGCAGTCTGAGCTACAATTGGAGCCACTCAGGAATTCCGGAATGAGGCCGTTCAATAACCTCTCCTGGCGCTGAATCTAACAATTTTATCGGCAAAACGTTACCCCCTTACCAACCTAAACCCTATATAGTCCAGCGTTCAATGTGGTTCTGTAAATTGTCTTAATTTTCTAAATTACTGTTCTGAAAATGATTATATATCGTCTTCTAATAAAGTTGTTTTGCTTTTTTTTTTATTTGTTATGATTGATTACTGCATCAATTTGCTATTTTTATCTTTGTTTTTAAAAAAATACTTTTAATGGCCTTCTATGAACTCTTTCAAAATCTTCAATAATTAAAAAAAAAAAAAATCAATGCGAATCATTTATGAGTTTAAGACGGTTCGGTTCAAATTGATTTTGATAATGAGGCTTTGTTTGATTGGAAGTTTTTGGTGCTTATTCCGTTTTAAAATGACAAATTCATTTCTTCTTTAATGTTTGGTTCGTCAAATCAAGTTCCCAATAACTCCTTTTGTTTCATTTTTATTCTGTTTTGAGAAAGCTTTTTATATATGCTTCTCCATTAGAAAATTCCATTTTTTAAACCAATATTTATTAAAACTGTCTTTTACAAAAGTTTCAAAAAATCAAATGAAGTCTGAGTCAAATAGGTATTCAAATATTTTAATTAAATTAAATTTGCTCCCATTTTGATGTCAGTTTTAATTACATATTATGTTAAAAATATGTAGAATTGTTTATATAATATGTATACACTTGGTTAATTTTTTCTCTCCTTAATGTAAAGAAAAGAAAAGAAACTTTTATTTTTTTGTTGTTTTTGTTATTGTTGTGTACATGGGTTATTTTTTTGAATGTCTGCATGGTAAGATGATGTTGTACAAGGCTAGCTTTTAGAAAACAATGGCTTCAGTATTTTGATTAAACTTTTGATCAAAATAAATTTAAAAGTAATGAGATAAATTTTGAAAGGGGCATAATATAAATTTTAATTACTTTTAAATTTAGTGTTATCATCCCAAAATAAATTTAAAGTTAAGGGTTGATATATCATATAAAAATTATTTTAATCTTGATGTAAATTTAAGTTGAAAATTTTCAAAATTAAATTCAAAACCGTATGAACTTTGATTTCAACAAACTCATAGTAGGATTGAATATCTTGAAAAGATAAATTCAATGACATCGAATTCAATCCAATCCAAGCTTAGATGGGTCCAAATTGAGAACCATAAGCACATTTAGAAGACAACATAAATTGAATGACCAATTTATGTTCAAATGTGGTCTGCTTATAATCGAATCGAGCTGCTTAGGGATGTCAATTTTTGACACGACCCGAACCCGACCTGGAAAAATCCGGGTTCAGGTCAACCCGAACCTGAAACAGGTCGAGTTCGGGTTGAACAAATCAACCCGTTTTAAAAATTGGGTCGGGTTCGGGTTGATCCAGTAATCCAAAATTGACCCGAAAGTGACACGAAAACTCATATTTGACTCGAAAACCCGAGATTGACCTGTTTTTTACCCAATTTTGACCCGAAAATTGAATATTGACCCGATTTTCCGAAAATTAGCAATTTTAGGTCAACTTCGGGTCATTCGTGTCGGGTCGGGTTGACCCGTACCCGAATCGGGTCGGGTTCGGGTCCGGAAACCTGACCCGTTTTTAAAACTGGGTCAGGTTCGGGTTGACCCGAACAGTGCCGGGTCAGTTTCGGGTTCGACCCGAACCCGACCCGCCGACCCGAATTGACACCCCTAGAGCTGCTTGACGAGATGAATCCAACGGCACAAGTTTGCCAAAATTTGGCAATATTAAGACAATCAAATATTCGATAAATGATTTATGATCAAAATAATCAATATAGTTTGTTTATTAAAAACACTCCCAATATGCCCATAATATTTCTATTTACTAGTCATGTCCCTCTAGAAAATTATAAATAGATCTATCGTTTTTCATTGAAAGAGGAATAAGCAAGAAAAATAAGATAATATAGGAAGAGATATTTGAGAGCTTTTTTGTCTTCAGGCTTCTCCTCCTTGACTACCACACAGATTGTCGCCGGACGTTCGCCCGGCCACCGGTTGTCACTAAACTTCCGCTTGCTACTGATCGTCGTTAGATTTTTGCCCAATCCCCATCATTCACACAAAATTCAACATATTTCTTGGACTTTTGTAATATGACTGTCCTTAAGTTTATGAAGATCTTTGTAATTTATTTAAATAATAGTGTAATCATTTCAACTGGATGTTGCCCCGCAGTTTTCCCCCTTTTTTACTATTATCCATGTAAAAATCTTGATGTTTTACTTTCTTTGTTTGTGTGCTGAGTATTTGTGCAATATCAAGACAAAATACTTTCCTATTTTATCATCATGAATTTTCTAGCCTGCAACAATAATATTTTGTGCTAAAAATTTTCACTTGATTTTACAATTCGTGCTGTTGTAAGCTGAAATTATATTGAGATTAATAGGTTTCAACAATGATAGTAAATATAATGATATTTCAGTGGAAGCAAGGCAATGAGATCACACGCCATTTGCTAATTTATAAAATACTTGTTAAATATAATCATAATTGTAATTAAATATAGATCTTTTATGTTTTATTTGATTAATAAATATAATAATGTTAAATTCTTCAATTTGTTTTTTATGATAAATATCGTACATAAATAATTAATTATTTTTATATGATAAATTTATTTAGTGTGAAAAAAAAAAGAAAAAAAAAAAAAAGCAGCCCCGCCTCTGCGTTGTGCTCAAAAGTAGAACTCCTCGAAGCCTTTCCCGCCATCAGTTTCCTTCTTATTTGATTTCTGCCCTAATCTTCTTCCGACGATCGAAAGTCGACCATCTCTTCACTTTTCGGACGATCTTCGCCCACGTTATGTAGCAGGTATGCTCGCCCTTAAAAAGGAACCATCTTCCTGCGCCTGTGACGGCTTGACTTTATCTTCTTTTATCCGTTTGAAAGTAGTTCTGTTAATTTTCTGTTATATGAGTTGGAAAACGAGATGAAAAAAGGCGTCTTAGCCTACGAAGGTTTTTGGTTGAATTGGGTTTTAGGCCATTTCTTTCAACTTGAGGCTTGCCTTGCTCTTGTTTAAAAACTCTCCATTGGTTTACTTGAAACCTTCAGCCTCGGGAATGAGAGTTCTATTTTTAAAGATTGATGATTTCTCATTGTTTGATTGAAGAAAATGCAATAGTTTCTTAGCTCAACCATGGAGACACTGAGAATCCTGAGAAGCGAAGCACGCTAGGGTATTTCCTATATTTGACAACTGTTTTGGAATGTTGTTCAGTTTCCTGTTTTATTTATTTATTTATTTATACATTTTTTTATTTTTTTTAAATGGGTTTGAATGAATGTTTTTTTCCCTATTTTGTTAGATCAGTAAACGGAGTCATGATCGAACAAGTTTTGTTTTAACGGAACAGTTAATTTGAATGCGGAAACTCCTCATAGAAAGATAAAGATTAAGTAACCAAAGAGATATCAACTATTTATGTGATTTGTTTTGAATAGAGCCTATGTTCATTCGAAAAAGGAGATGATCCGATCTACTGATAAAAAAGTCACAAATGATGTACAAATCATAGGCATCCATCAGTTATTCTCGAAAACTCACATACACTTGCTCTTAAGTCTTAACAAAGAAAAGCCCAAAAGAAACTCTCACAATGGGTTTAACACACTAAGGTCTCTTCTTGCATGCACAAGGATTTATTTATTTTCTTATCTATTGAGTCGAATCAAGTCTAGTATTGAATTTTTCAAGTTTATTTATTTATTCTTTTATCCAGCTCAAGCAACATATGAACATGACCTCAAAATATTTTTTAAGTTAATTTGTTAAATTTTACATTGATTTCAAGTTATAGTTGAGTTTTAACCAATTATAACTGACCAAGGTTTAGGCATCTATCGCTCCCGACTCCTTTAGCACTCCTCTAGGGCTCCCAAGGGGAGGCCCTGGCCGCCCATCTCCCACCAGTCCAAAGCTTACGGAAGCTCCCATCCTTCCCCTTTTTTATTCTCTAGTTTGGTGTTTTTTTGTATTTTGATTTGTCCACCTCCGACCTTTTGCCCGGAATGGCGGTGAATCATTTGGTATGTCTTGGTTTTTTGGACGGTATGACCAAATCTTGTTCTTTTGTCGAAGCTCTATATGGTGTTTCTTACAATGTGAATTTTTCGAAACTGAAATCTTCATCTTTTCGTTGCCTTCCATCTCAGTGGATATTGGATGAGGAGATTTTGGTGCTCGCTACTCCATTTCAATTTGCGTAATTAGTCGGCTTCTTTCCCTCCCACTTCCTTCTCTTGAATCTATTCGTAGTTTTTTTTTCAAGCTTAAGCTTCAAGGTGATGTCTCTGTTACTTTATTGGACCCTTCCTACATTTTGGCTAAAATGCTCAATGACATAGCTTATAGTTGTGTGTTTTGCCATAGATCATAATATCATATATGGTTAACAATTACTCTATGAAGTTGACTAATGGCCTTGGATTGCTCGTTGGTCGACCACTAAAAGTGGATAATGCTACTTTTATTGGTCACATCCTTCTTTTGCGCGGGTGCTGGTTGAGCTTGATATTACTAAAAATTATCATTATAAAGTTTGGTTGGTTCCAGAGAAATTTGGTTACATTCAAGTTGTTGATATTGGAAGAATTTCCCCCTTTTGTGCAAAGTGTAAGAATATTGTGCATTTAATTAGTTATTGTCGTCCTCCTTTTACTACTCTTCCCTCCACTGTCCAGCTGTATGCTCCTATGGCTAATATTGTTAATGTTCATTCTATTGGAAATGTTGGAAGTGATTTAAATAATTTGGATAATACTGGTAGTATTCCTATTTCTTTGGTTCCTAATGTCGTGGTTTATGATGCCTTGAGTCATCGAATTACCCCTGATGTTGATATTGAACATTTTGATATTGTTGGAGTTGGGAATGTTTGGGATCAAGGTGGTGCGAATATTGCTCCCTTAAATCCTGTTTTTATTGATGTTGATGAAGTGGTTGTGCCTATAGATAATGAGGACATGAATGCTAATAACTGTGAAGTTAACCTTATAGTTACCACCAATTTTTCGCCTACTTTAGTTGATGATGTTAGTGATGGTTCTTCTGGAGGCTATCATCCCTTGGGTGATGCTTTGGCTAGTGGAGTTGGGGATGTGGTGGACTTTGATGTTGAGGCTTCTGTTGACC